TATAATCTATACTTGCAGCTACTACTCTACCTTCATTACACTTAAGGCTCTAAAGTAAGCTCTATTTGCAGCCATAATGTTTGTTGGGGGCGAAGGCGATGCCGTCAGTAAGAGCGAAATGAAACCCTTTAAAACCGCTAAATTGTTTCAAAAGCTATTTGATTTCGCTTTTTAGAAAAATCGCTTATTTTAAGGTTAATGTAGAGCCAAACCTAAATAAAACGCTCCTAATGTACTTGATACTGATTTAGGTTTGAAAATTAACCGGTAAACAAGCCCTGAATACCTATGGTAATACCTAAGAAAATATCCTCTTACAAACGATCTCTAAACAGCTTCCTTGAAATCCTTGCGTTTACCAGATAGCTGTTAAGTGCAATGCCCGTGGCGTTACTTCCTTTCCTTTGAAGCATAAATATTCAGTGAGAAACAAAGTTTTAATAAACTGCACAGCGTTTTGTACTCATTAAAAAATTAACGCCTTCTGGTTGTAACCTGATCCGAGCATAGTTCGACGAACGACGACGACTTTGGTAAATTTTAATTAGTATATTGGACGTTTACCTAACTGCTCTAACTACAAACACTTCTGTATTAAAAAAGGCAGAAGATAGCATGATAGTCGGGTAAAAGAAGCTTTGTATTCCCTGGGGCAAGGTTAAGAGCGGACGCGAGCTAAAAGACTTTTGAGAAATACGAGTAGGTATAAGAGGAGTTAGAGGAGCTCGATGGCGCAAGTGGTTAGCGCGTTCGGCTGCGATCGTTATAGTTAAGCAACTTTCGCTGTGGTCGGTCATTGGATGGGTGACCAAAAATTTACTATCTCGAGCTCCTCCGTGCTTCGGAAGGAACGTTAAGTCGTTGGTCCCGGCTGCATCTGCAGTCATTAGCACCCACCAATCCGCATACATAGGGAAGACCTGTGCCCCAGCAGTGGGGACATTAATGATGAAAATGATGAGTAGGTATTTGAAAAAACTATTGCTGTCTTGCGGTATTTGCAAATCAGTATTGGCAAATACCGTGCGATAGGGACAACAGTGGTTAACGCTGAAAATTGCTTATAAAAATTGCAAAATTCGAGGATTGGCTCTCAACGATTTCCTCCTTGTAAATTAGATATATGTAAAAGAAATTTTACCATACGAGTAGACGGCTCACCTGATGGTAAGTGATCACCGTCGCCCATGGCCACTTGCAACACCAGGAGTATCACAAATGCGATGCCGGCCTTTAAGGAAGGAGTACGCTCTTTTTTTGAAGGTTTTTGGGTCGTATTGGTCCGGAAACACTGCTGGCGACAATATATACCACGTCATTAGTGGTAATACTTTTTTACATTTGTTTGTCATCGCGAAGCAAACACTCACGGGGAACTGTACGCGCTTAAACTGGAACGGGAAGTTATGAGGTATGAGGGGAATGCGTGGTATAAATACTGCCTCGCCGACGCCACAACCCGTATGAATTTCCGCCTCAATGGTGTATCTGTGGAGCGAGATGATTTTAAGGCGGGTCCCGTTACACAGCTTCGGAGGAGATAGGTTCCGAAGAAGCATAATCGGGACACCGACCTTTAGCTTGATGGTATGAGCTGGAAGTCCACTTGCTGACAGGGAGAATTCATTCGTTAATTGCTGCAGCTTGATCATTTTAGGGAGTCAAAATGACCCACCCGCTCACACACCCAAGAATTCTGCTGGTGCGGTATACGACTGATGTCCCCGTACACAAAGCGAATGAGTTCTTCTAAGCTCGATACAACTCTACCGAGAGACTCTGGATGCACCACCTGTCCACCTCTTTCCTCTCGTAGAGTGCCTTCGCCAAGACATAGAAGGACATCGGAGAATTCATGAGCACGTGCATTGCTGCCGAGCCGAGGTCTCATATTAATGGTCAAGCGCAGTGCACGAGCTCGGGACCACAACGAAGATCGTTTCAACGTTTCGACGAAGCATTCACCTCATCAGCCCTCGATCCCCGCGTTACCACGGGAAGCATTTGTCGGAAATCGCCACTGAACAGAACTGTCACACCACCCATCAAATGTTCGTTCCTGCGGATGTCCTGCAGGGTTCTGCCTACGGTCTCAACTGCCTTCCTATTGGCCATCGTACACTCATCTCATATGATCAGAGAGCAATCCTTGAGCACGTGTCCCTTATCACAGTTACGTGACACACCACAAACAGGCGTTTCAGCGCTCTTTAAATCAATGGGAATTTTATTTAAACATGGCATGTGTTGTCTTGCCACCCGAAAGTGGTGTGGCAGCGATTCCCGATGACGCTACAGCAATGGCAATTTTGCCTTGCCTCCTGACCTCTGCAATTATGCCAGTGGTAAAAAATGTTTTTCCTGTTCCACCAGGAGCATCGAAGAGAAATATTTAACCCTGGTTTTGCCCGGTGTCATAAATTAGTTTTTGCTCTGAAGATAACAAAGAGACGTGGTCAATTCGTATGGTGGTCATTTCGCCCGGATCGTAAATTGTCTCAGGAGTATAACACTCCCGATTTCCACGGCCTTGATGCGGTGATGATTGGGGAGCTGGTAAGCCAAATTCGACGAGTGGATTGCCGCCGATAGAAATGACCACGTCTTGAAGTGAACTGAGACACCTGTCTCAGGTGTTCAGCACGCGTTCATCAGTTACTTTGACTTTGTCTCCAGTAGCACGACTCAAAGCTCGTAGAAAATCTTCAGACAGGTGATGGCGATACTTCTCCCACAAAGCTACCGGGTTCTCCCACAAAGCTACCGGAATTTATCTTGGACATATGTCATCATATACAGACAAACAGACAAAAAATATTTCTTCTTTCTCGACCTTCTTCTTCTTATTCGGTCTTCGATTTAATATGAACACTAGCGGCCCGCCCTCGCTTCGCTTCGGTGTACAGCTGAAGTGTAGACTACAGTTTTTGTTCTCAGGCACAAGCCTGAGAACAAAAACATAATACAAATTATACACAATGACATCATGATCTATGATTCTTCTTATACCTGCATGAAAGTCTCAGCCCGATCGTTTTAAAATTGACAAAGTTTCATACAAACTTTCATTCCCTATTTTATCCCCTTGGGGGTAGAATTGATCAAAATCGTTTCTTAGCGGATGCCTACGTCATAATATATACCTACATGCCAAATTTCAGCCCGATCCGTCCAGTGGTTTGTGCTGTGCGTTGATGGATCACTATGTCCGTCAGTCAGTCACCTTTGAGTTTTATATATTAAGATAGATAGATAGATAGATGTCAGAGATAACTTTTATATTTTGGCAATAAATATTAAAATTTAATAATAAATTTTATTTATTGAAATATTTTATTCGTGATACAATACCCACACCTACCCTCAGTACGTCCTAAAAATGTTGAGGATATTTTAAAGTCATGTACCTAAGTCCAAGGTAACATTTTTCAAACCCCGGTAAGTTTCGCTGGTGAATATCAATTGCCTGCATGTCCAAACTTAATTCTTACTTTGTGACTATAATATTAGCAACTTATACATCTTTATTCTTCTGTAAAAATGAGTATCCCCATTAATCGCCTCAAGGGAGAGCACTACAGGTACCGCTCTCTGACATGGACTGGTTGATGAAGTGATAGGAGACGATAAATTCCAGTGCTGCTGGAAGAGCGTGATTAGTACACTTAACTGTCCCAGTGTCAGCGGTCAGATCAACTATCTGAAGAATTTGACAACGGTATCAGAAACAGATTTATTCAAAATCAGAATTGTAACGCGTCCAAATGTTAGCCTTAAGAAGAGCTTTAAGTGGTAAGGAAAGGAGTAGAAGTCAGCTTGCGGACAGGCAGGAGCCGAAATCAGCAGTCACTCATCTTAAGACCTGACCTGGCACCCATGAAAATTTCCCGAAAACAGTGGTCTATGTATTTCTACTTGATAAATACCCAGTTATATTTTCAAAAAATATGTTTGTCCGATTACAGCACGAGAGCTCTAATCAGATCAAACTTCCCTGTCTCAAGTTGGAAAGGATAAGAGCTCTAGTTCTGTAATCGGACTGACATATAACGAGTATTTAGATCACCATTTTCGAACTTCGGAAGTGGAACGGACGAGGCATGTTGATGCCATTAATGTTGACAAGGACCTTTCATGTCTTCACTTCACTGATGACGTTGGTACTACTTATGGCTGAGATCTTGGAAGATCTGAGCATGATCTGAGAACATGGATACGACGAAAATCATATCGAATACCCAGTACGTACCTTTGACTCGAAGTTGTCGTCCATTATGTTTGTAAAGGTCGCGGGAACTTGGGAAGCCGCTGACTGCCAGTGGTATAGGACCTATGCGCTAACCCGATCAGTGAACAGATCCTTGGGGTAGGCCTATGCACAACAACGGCTGATGAAGATGACGACTCGTTATAATTAATCGACAAAAAGTTTACAAACCTGTAGAGAAGAATCCGCACTGTTTATAAAATCATTTGAAATTTTCGTTAGAAGCATTAAGAAATCAAATATCATTCTGATCTGCGTGTCACTTAGGTGACATACAGATGAGCTTTGTGCAACTAAAGGCTCAAGGCTTTTTTTACAGAACTAAAAGAAAAGGAATTTTTGACGTGATTCTTCCTCCTCCTCCTTTTATTTCTTATTCTCAATATATTCTTTTGTAGTGGATACAATGATATAATTAAGTGTTGTGATTTTGTTACAAAAGTCTATATTACTTATTACTAAAGAATTAGTGAAATCTTCGGCGTCAAGTTGTTATTTTGGTCAATTGAACGCTTGAACTCAATTAAAGTGTTGACTACCTAACAGAAGCTTATCATAGCCTGATGCGGTACCACCAAATACTAAGACACATTAAATCTGATCCACCTGCACCATATTTTAAAGAAGGGAAAAACATACTAAGAACTAGACTGAATGGGTTAAATAACCTTTGCTTTGGCTAATGGAGAATATTACAAAAAAATGTGATACTAAGTTGACAGTTTGACATTGACAACAAACGAAAAATAAATAACCTCAATCTTGGTTATTTTTTACGCTAAAATTTTTAAATTTATTACGATGTCACTGTAAATTATGATACTATTAATAAAATATTAAAAATGTTGTCAATAAAAAAGCTACCTACACTGTGTGCATCAAAAATACAATCAAAGTTACATTTTGATAAATATCGCTCGGTAACTGAGAAGCAAATAAACAAATATTGCAGCTATGATTTTTTAGGTTTCTGTAGATCATTTTCTGTATTGCATAATGTGACAAAAAAATCAAAACACCCAGTAAGTATTTCCGATAAAATTTATGAAGATTAAATGGCAGTATTGAAACAGTAATTTAATCGTTGTTATCTACACTCATTTAAATGTGACCATGCTTTATTAACAATAACAATTATTTCTAAAATTTTACAGTTGTTACGACATTTCAATACTGAATACAAAGCTGCATACTCATTGTTAACGAGATCAAATCTACCAGCTCTTAAAACATTATTATCCCAAAATGTTTATACTCGAAGCTTACACACAACATCGCCGTATTTTAATCAACAGACAGATGATAAGGTAAGTTAGTATGATTTGACAGAGTATAAATTATAATAACAACTATTAACTTTACCAAGAAAACTTTTCAAGTAAATTAAGTAAAATCCAATAGTTTAAAATATAAATAAACATTGTAAAAACTATAAAGATTTTTCTAAATGTACAATGGATCAGCTTTCAGCTCTGACCAAATTTAAATTGCAGATCAAGAATACTCTTATGAGTAAGAGCAATTACAAATTTCATGATTATCTAATCGATTGTAATGCAGGGACATTATACACCTTTCTTGTATTTTTAATGTAATTTTTGACAATTTTCATAACAATAATGGGTTATCTGAAGCTACTTCTTGTACTAAAAATGTAATGCTTAATTCTTTTATCTATTATATATTCTTAATCATGTAATGGAAGGTGACTTTATGAATAATCTCTGATATTATTTTCCAACTTGAAGCCAAACAGAGAAAAAACACCCTATGCTGAGTTTGAGTGACAAAAGTGTACCGCTGCAGATTTGTGAACAGATGGAATAGCATCTAGACCTTCACAATTGCTTGTAACGGCCTAGACTGAATAAATTCTTTTTGGATGTGAATTATGAAGATTATTCATACCTATGTCTATTTTCATAATTATGATCATTGAAAATTCAACCTCATAGGATTTCAAAGAGGCCTTTAATTGAATGCTGTTTCTGTTTCCTAGATAAAGATTTTTAATAGTTACAAATAAGTTATATTCTTGTTACAGGGTGATAAAGATAAAAAGGACAAGAAAAAAGAAGATGCAGGAGACATGGCCTCGCTTCTGCTCAAAGCTGCTTTTTGGATGTTAACAACTAGTATATTGGTTATAGCCAGTTCTATATTGGTACCAGGAGACAACACGCAAAATGAAGTATGTAATATTAAAATCAAAGAATGTCAGTATCAAATAGAGTAAAATGTAATCAAGTCTATATTATAGTCTAAGTATAGTAATATGTACAATATTTAATTATATAATAGACTAGTGGCCCGCCCACGCTTCGCTTCGGTATTTTATCCCCTTGGGGGTACAATTGATCAAAATACTTTCTTAGCGGATGCCTACGTCATAACATCTACCTTCATGCCAAATTTCAGCCCAATCTGTCCAGTGGTTTGGGCTGTACGTTGATAGATCACTATGTCAGACAGTCGGTCAACCTTTGAGTTTTATATATTATATAGTTTTCAGTTTTTGTGTCAAGTATCAGATTGCCAAAGGGTTTAATTAATTAATACATCGTTTAGTATCTGAGTAACTAATTGTGATATTTTTTTTTCATTGAAATGCAAATATGTATAATTTTTGAAATTGTTGTTAAATGTTAGTGTGTATATTGATGTTGAATGTGTTTGAAGTACCTATTTAATAATTTACAGTCCTGTAATAGATCTGTTTTATTCCAGCTTATAAGATACGTGTCATGGAACGAGTTTGTGTATTCAATGTTGTCAAAAGGTGAAGTTGAGGAATTGATTGTTAGACCAGATATGGAAGTGGTAACCATCATACTTCACGAAGGTGCAGTTATCAAAGGCAAAAGGGTAAAGATATCTTTTATTTTTAGGTTTATACCATGCTCTCCTTGCTGTCAAATCGTCATTCTATTTAAGGTAAAAGGGTGGCAAATATGCTTATGCCTGATGGTAAGCAGGGTCCATAACCTGTAGACACACTTAAACAAACACAATACAATACAAAAACTCTTTATTGTACACCACAAAAAAAACATTGAACATTAAGTACAAAACCATCTAGTACACGTGATGCAATGGGCGGCCTTATCGCTTAAAGCGATCTCTTCCAGGCAACCTTTGGATGGAGAGGATTAGAAGGAAGTGGGAGAGACGGTGGTGTAAATCGCTGTTAACTATATAATATATTAGTATATACATACATACACCATACACAAACACCTATATACAATAGGAGTAACAGACAGCCCCCTATGCAGAGGATGCATGGAGGCAGAAGAAACGCCACAGCATGTAATCATGGAATGCAGGAGTGTGGCCGACCAACGAGAAGTCATTCTCCAGTCGCCAAATTCGCTTCCGGAAGCTTGCAGCAGTCTGCCAAGTCTGCTTTCCTTCTAGACTAACTTTGGCTGGCTGGAAGTGAACGGAAATGTTTCGAGACACGCACAATGGTCCAATAACCAGGACTAAGTGCGAAAAACTGCCCTGAAAAACTAAACTAAACCTGTGGACACGTGCAATACAATAACTTGCTTTATTGCCTACCCTGACCTAACCCATGGAGCGAGTGACATTAATTTTTGTATCAGTTACAGATTAATCATTCAAGAATATTCAGTCAATCTTTAAAGTATTATCCTATATATTTTCTTAGCTTATTAAACTAGTCTTTGTGTGCTTGTGCATGTGCAAAGTGGTCAAATTCTGTAGTATGTTAGCAATTTTTGAACATGTTTAAAACCACACGAATTTGTTTTGCAAAAGAGTAAAACATTGTTAATAATTACAGTCAACACATAGAGTATACCATATGAATATTGGAGATATACATCGCTTTGAAGAGAAACTTCGTGATGTGGAGAAGTCATTAGGTGTTAAAGAAGGTATAAAATACAAATTATAAATAATGATAACATATTTAATATTTATATACATAATTTTCATATTTATAATTTTCTAGGTGTCCGTGTAATATACGACAGAAATGGCAGTGTGGCAGGTAAAGTCATAACGACACTTCTCATCGGAGCCCTCATACTGTCATTCTTGTACTCTACTAAATCAATGAAAATGAACATAAACCTAGGAGGTTTCGTAAGTATTCTTACTGTCTGCGGTCACTTTCAATTATTTGCAATGAGGGCTACCATTTATTGTCTCACCAGATGGCGCCACTGTTGAATGAGGTTCCGAAGTGTGGCTTTTAAAGCTTTTTAATACGCTTGAGAAAACAAAGTCCACATTTAAATCATATTTAATACAATAGAAGCTTAGCCTAAATATATCAGCCATGCACAGTTCTGCTTTGTTCGGTAAAAAGGTGAACATAATTTTCCGTCACATAAAACTGTCTCAAAGCACTAACATTCATTGACCTGTAATGATGTTGGCATAGTTGCCATCATTAATTTGAGTAATTGCTAATTATTCACAACATTATTTAAATGATATTTGACATTTCGGAGACCTCACGCTACAGAAGCGTCTAAAGCGGCGGATTTATACGCGACAGCCCTCATTTCAGCACTATTCCTTTATTTATTTCATCAGTTTGTGGTATTTAAAAGGGATAATGATATTTCAGAGTCAACTGAGTCGGGCAAAATTCACCCTAGTAGACTCGATGAGTGGCCAAGGCAAAGGAGTTAAATTTGAAGATGTGGCTGGACTACGGGAGGCCAAGATCGAGGTGATGGAATTTGTGGATTATCTGAAGAGGCCTGAACACTACAAGAGCTTGGGGGCGAAGGTGAGTAGCATATGGTCTCTTCTTACCAAGGATTTCAAATTCGTCTGTAACTATACGAGTATATCTATATTCTAAATGGTAGGACTCTTTACTTTCCTATTCCAAAAGAATAAAAAATCATTCTAACCAATTAGCAAGAACTTTGATGGAAAAGAAACTAAACTACACATTTTAAGAGACAAAAGAGGCGTGCTCTTCAAGATCTTCTCTGACACAAACACAGAAAAAAGTCAAAATAGAGGGGCATATCATTGGATCATGTACCATGCGCTACATCTTTTATTCCAAATTCATAAAATCCTGCTTAATGTCGACAAGACAGATCACAGGTTAAAAGGAGACTTAAAAAAATCTAAATGATGTATTGGAAGGTGACTTCAGAAGTATCTCTGAAGTCATTTTTCAACTAGATTGCCCTTGCTGAGTTTCCTGCCGGTTCTGCTCAGTACAAGGTCTCCCGCCGTAGTTTTGCGAACCGATGGCGTAGCTTCTTGTCCTTCACAAGTGCTTGTAACAGCCTAGATTGAATAAATGATTTTTGATTTTGATAATACCCGCACTTTTCTTGGCTATTCGTGTTATTATAGTCTGTCCATTCTATTATTATCTTTTTGACAGATCGACGCTCATGTAATTTTGTATTGTTTACGTTAAAATGTCATACAAATAATATTGAACTTCATGGATGGGTACCGCCCACTTAGTGATGTGCCACACATAATGATTACTACGATTGTGCCACAGATTACAAATAATCGGAACAATTAATGATGAGTTCATTCTATTGTATATTGTCAAAGGCAATATACTAGGTAAAATAATAAATCTAATGATATTTTGATACTTATAATCGATTAAACAATGTTCCAGTATAAAATAAATTATAGCTTTAAATCGAATGAGTTATGTGATAGGGTGACACTATTTTTACTTGGATCGATCTGTCAAAAAGATCATAATAGAATGGCCAGGGAGATTAAGAATAGGTCACTGTAAATTTCCATGTCATCTTTATCGCCTTAAACTGAGCGTTAACTCAATTTGTAAATATTGTTAACATCCAAACTGTGATCTTCAACATTTGTACTTTGATTGCAAGTATTTTAATATTCAACGACTTCTTTTTATATGCTCTTGTAAAGATTTGATAGAGATAAATGATTTCCCTCAAAATGTTAAACATTTGTTAAGATTTAGAGAACTGTATAGCATTATTTATGATTTTATCATTAAAACATTTGGTCCCTTGCGATTGTTATGAATATGTTTAAAATTCTGTTTCTTTAAGTTTTATTTTATATTAAGTTATTATTAAGTAATTACAGTCCATCAAATTTAAGAAGTACCGTTTGACGTTTCATGTTTTGACGTGACAACGTCTTAAATTAGGTTGCGGCTGGGAGTCACTTATGAAAAAGTGTAACGCTCGGTAACGTTACGATGAGTCTCTCGTGTTAAGTTTAAGTTTACATGTACAATGTTTTAGTAAACAAAATATATTTCTATAGTTAAAATTTGTGCAATTCTTATTTTCATTCAATTCCTTGTTCCTATTGTGCAATTTAATTATATTCATATCAATAAATATTCTACCGAGAAAAAGACGTTGTCACGTAAAATTTTCGCCCGTAAAACCGACTTTACAGGCAACCATTTTTTTTTCAAACAGATATAACTTTGTTTAAGCGTAACTTATTCAAATTCGATAACCTTTTTCGTAAAACAATGAATTTATAAAGGTTTTATTATTGGATCTAAAAATGTACAATTCTTAATATCTAAATTTAATTGAAAACTTTCAAACAATGCAAAATAAACAATATTTACACAATAAATAAGTTCTAATAGTTCTATTCTTGACCTCATTGCAAAGTCACATAGTTAGGTCACTGCTCGTAGTGTTGCGACTCTTCGGAATCAATTGTGTACGAAAAAATCGTGTACATTATTCGGAAAATCGAATTTATTACTTTCAAATTATCAATTAACGACTTTGTAAAAATACATGACAGATGACAAAATGATCAAATTTGATGCCTCGGTCCATAATCTACTCAGATTACGATGTTGTAAGCGCTAGAAGCGCTTATGGCCAATGTCAGACCACGGCCAGAAAGCGAATTTTCGACGTAATGTTTAGGGGTAGAGCGCAATTTAATTTTTGTATAATTTCACGTTACTGCTCGATCGCATAATGCATTTAATACATAGGTACCCTAAAATAATTTAATTTAATTATTTTCAAACAAATCTATATAGGCGAAATAGCTCCAGAAAAAATTTTTTTTTTATCAGACAACACTGCCGACCACAATCGCACGCGGTCCCCCTCGCCCGCGTCAGCAGTCTCTCGCCATCTTGGAAGCTGACTGTGCGCGTACCTACTTTCTCGTTTGTGTTTTACAATTTGTGACTTGGCTATTACTTTTCTGGACTCTGAACTAAGCAAGTGTTTATTAATAATGTCGAAAAGAGGACGTACTTTGAACAGCCAGGCTCGTGAATTGGTGGTGAAATTACACGAGTATTTTGAGCGTGAATGTCAAAATGGTGGAGCTCTACTGCCAGTTACACAAGTTCGGGATCGCGTCGGTGAAGCTCTCTGTATTGGTAGCCGCACCGTCGGCAAAATATTAAGCGAAAAATATGGGCCTTCGGGGAGTGACAGTAACGTACTTCACACGCCGAAAAAAAGGAAAAGAACTAAACCTGTGACAGGTATCGATGACTTCGATAGCCATGCTATTAGAAACCATATCTATGGTTATTTTACAAGAGGCGAATTTCCAACATTGGCAAAGTTATGTGCAACTTTAGAAGATGCCGGGCTGTACAAGGGAAGCATAGAGTCGTTGAGAACGATAATAACAGGAATTGGCTTCAGATACAAAAAAGTTGACAAACGAAAAATTGTTATGGAGCGACATGACATAATTATGCAGCGACTAACATTCCTGCGCGAAGTAAAACAAATTATAAACTGGGATAATGTAATATTTTTGGACGAAACATGGCTAAATTCCAACCACTCTGTGCCGAAAACATGGACAGATGATTCTGAAGCTTCGTGCTCGAAAGTGCCGATAGGGAAAGGTGGACGCCTCATTATATGCCATGCTGGATCAGCGTCTGCAGGTTTCGTGGAGAATTCATTATTAGCTTTCCAATCTAAAAGCACAAAAGAGTATCATGAAGAAATGGACGCGGAAAGGTTCCAAGAGTGGTTCTTAAATTTACTAACGAATATCCCTCCTAACAGCACAATTATAATGGATAATGCCCCATACCACTCTGTGCAAATTGATAAAGCACCAACATCAGCCAATAAGAAAGCAGATTTGGTGGCATGGCTGCAAAGAAAAGGAGTGGAAGCCGACATGTCACTATTAAAAGCTGAATTGTTACATTTAGTGAAATTGCATAAACCATCAAGACCGACTTATGCTATTGACCAATTAGCCGAAGAATACGGGCACAAAGTCATACGACTTCCTCCGTACCATTGCCAATATAATGCCATTGAACTGATTTGGGCCCAAGTTAAAGGTATAATATAATAATATTTTTTTGTACTTGATTATATTATTAACAGAAACTTGTTCTTAATAAGCTGAAATATATTGTGAATTGAGATTTTCCGTTAAGTACAGTAATACTATAAAACATTACCCTTCTTCTTCGCAGTTGTGTAAATTGTACATTACCTAACAAAATATTGCAAGATTAGCTTAACACATTTTGTAGCCACATAACACGAGTGCCTCTAGCTTTTATAATTTAAAAAATAGTCAAAGTCTCCCACCTAATAATTATATAATTGTTTTACAGGTTATGCAGCAAGACACAACACAAAACCACCCTTCAGTGTCAAGAAAATGGAAGGCTTATTAAAGGAAGCATGTGCGCAAGTTACACAAGAAAATTGGTCAAAAGTAGTAGAAAAAACAAAGAAAATAATAATGGACGACTTCGACAGAGACGTAAAATTCGATGATTTCATGGATAATCAACTAGTCATTAATTTAAATGACGATGATGACGAGGACGACAATGATTCCAGTACTTCCAGTGAATAAAAAAATATCCTAAACATTACTTTTATTTAAATGCTTCGATTTCGACCTTTAGAACCTTAAGATTTTTTCGGTATTCTATCCTCAGATTACTAGTAAAACCTAAATTTACCAATAAACAACCTTTTACAATAACTTATTAAGAGTACAGAGAAATATTATCTTAAATTTCGGATCTTATGGTCATTGATCTCTTAAAAATCGGATATTATAGTAATCGATCTCTTAAAAATATAGGAAAAGAGTACAGAGAAATATTATCTTAAATTTCGGATCTTATGGTCATTGATCTCTTAAAAATCGGATATTATAATAATCGATCTCTTAAAATTCAGATATCATAGTAATCGAATTTTTAAAACCCATCCCTATTATTCAATTTGTCAGAACTGTCAAACGGTACTTCTTAGATTTGATGGACTGTAGTTGATTATGTTAGATTTCCCTGTTTTATTTTTGCTAATTCCTGTTGTTCATATCTTATTTTCACTAAGCAAGTTGTTTATGTTTAAGCTAGTGGCCCTGGAGGCCAATGCTTTAAATAAATTAAAAAAAAATAGAATGGCCTTATCATGTTAACTATAACATGATAAGGACAGACTGTTGTCAAGTTTATAAACAGCAAAGTGAAGTGCCGGCGAAACAGACAAATCAAAGGGTTGTGTTCATTTACCATTCATGTGTAATTTTTATGTTGAGTTATTTTTTTGTTTGAGTACATAAATATTTTTACTGATAAGTTTTGTTTGAGAATAGAATGTTGGCCCAAAGATATTTCGTTGTTTTTGCACTATCAAGCCATATTGGTAGGTAAGGCATAGAATTCGCAAAATGATCTCTACCAACTTCTGTACCCATAACACGAACAAATATCGAATTCGTTGCGTTTGCGAATACGAAATGTCATTGTCAAATATGTACTGAATTTTAGTTCTCGTTACGTACGTTTTGGCGCAGCTGTTCAAGTATCCATACAAAATTTGTCTGACATTTCGCGGTCTCAAACTATTTGAATTCGATATTAGTTAGTGCTAGGGTACTGGTTGCTTTCAGAAAATAATGTTATTAGTCAGTTTACAATCAATCACTAATGTTAATTAATTTCATGAAAGATAACTTAAAATCTCATACATCTTGGATACGAGCCGCCTTACCCCAAAACGTGGATTAAAGTTAGTCTTGGTTTAAACCTAATGCTGTCTCAGTCTTCTTTATAGCAAAATAAATGACAGCATCATTTTTAGACTAAGTTTCACTGTAGTCAATGCTTTGTCATAAGGTGGAAGGAATACGTTTTGAAGAATACTACAACAAGTTATAATGAAAAACGTCGAGCAGTTACATGCTTAAAAAATAAAAATTATACTCGTAACTATAATTGCTATTTCTTCTTTCTAAATGTTTAATACTTGTAAAGGTATTCATTTGATATTGTGGGTTACCTACAATGCGAAGAGATGGCGCTGCCTTGCAGCTTAAGAAAGGCTAGAAAGAATTCGACACAACCGTCCGGGCCGCGGTAGCATAATGTTCAGTGCATTCGCCCGGATAGATAATGTGTGCGGGTTCGAGTCCCGTCTGCTGCCTGGTCCGCGTGGTTTTTTTTCTACTAACATTTTCTTTAGATTAAAACATCAAGCAGCAAAATGCTTACAAAATAAAAATTATAATGACCTCCGTGGCCGAGTGGTTTGTACGCCAGGTTTAATGGTGTCGCCAACTCGAGAGGTCCCGGGTTCGAATCAAGGTGGGGGCAGATTTTTGTGTGATGAATACGAGCATTTGTACTCCAGTCATGGATGTTTAATATGTTTATCTATATAAATATACTTATATATGTACAGTATATGTATTCTATCCGTTACCCTAGCAACCCATAACACAAGCCCTACAGTGCTTACTTTGGGGGCTAGGCTAATTGGTGTGAGTGTTGGAAATATTTATTATTATTTATTTATTATTTATAATGATTTGGTATGTGGCTAACGCAGGTACCGAAAGGAGCTCTATTATTGGGGCCGCCTGGTTGCGGCAAAACATTGTTAGCGAAGGCAGTGGCCACGGAAGCGAACGTGCCATTCCTATCAATGAACGGGTCCGAGTTCATCGAGATGATAGGAGGTCTAGGAGCGGCTAGAGTACGGTTAGTTTTTTGCTTAAATAACGATAGAATTAGATTCGATTTAATAATAATAATTTATTGAGGAGGAGGAGCTCGATGGCGCAGGTGGTTAGCGCGTTCGGCTGCAAACGTTGAAGTTAAGCAACTTTCCCAGTGGTCGGTCATTGGATGGGTGACCAAAAATTTGCTATCTCAAGCTCCTCCGTGCTTCGGAAGGCACGTTAAGCCGTTGGTCCCGGCTGCATTTGCAGTCGTTAGCACCCACCAATCCGCACTGGGTCCGCGTGGTGGGTCATGGCCCAATCTCCCTATTCCATCCATAGGGAAGGCCAGTGGGGACATTAATAGGCTGATGATGATGAATGTATTGAAAATAATGTTTACAATGATATTAAACAATTTTAAGTTTACAACATTGAAATTATTATAACGTTACCTACGGCTTCCACACTAGGACATGCCTGTATTGTGGCGACCGGACGAAATAAATAAATAAACAAAATTACGATTTTCACTAGCGCTTAAATTATATAAAACTTTTTTATTAGTAATTTATATTCATGCAATTAAGTGCGTCTGTGTTTTATGTGTGTGTGGGTGGGTGTGTGGGTGTGTGTGTGGTGAGTGTGTGTGTGTGTGTGTGTGTGTGTGTGTGGTGAGTGTGTGTGTGTGTGTGTGCATGCATTATGTGTATTTGGGCATCCATGACTGTTACTGGGTGATTTTTAAAAGATTTTCTGTTACCGTATATGACAGTGTTAAAAGCCATTTTAGGACCTTGGACTTAGCGTGAGCTATAGTGCTAGTGTTTACATCAAATTCACGAGTTACTAAGTTGTTGTAAGAGGAGCTCGATGGCGCAGGTGGCTAGCGCGTTCGGCTGCGATCGTTGAAGTTAAGCAACTTTCGCAGTGGTCGGTCATTGGATGGGTGACCAAAAATTTACTATCTCGAGCTCCTCCGTGCTTCGGAAGCCACGTTAAGCCGTTGGTCCCGGCTGCATTTGCAGTCGTTAACACCCACCAATCCGCACTAGGCCCGCGTGGTGGGTCATGGCCCAATCTCCCTATTCCATCCATAGGGACGGCCTGTGCCCCAGCAGTGGGGACAATAATAGGCTGATGATGATGATGATGAAGTTGTAGATGAAGGGTTGTTTGAAGGCGAGATGTGATCGTGCAAATGCGGTTTTGACATAGGTTAGAGGTATACGAAAAATTCTCTTTCGTGTCGGGTTAGTGTAGGCAGGGGAACTAAGTGCATTCCGGTGACCTAGTGTGAACACCTTGAGAATGTAGACCTGTCTGACGTTCAAAACAGCAGTCTCTCTGTACTCTTGCCTATTAATGTCCCCACTGCTGGGGCACAGGCCTTCCCTATGGATGGAATAGGGAGATTGGGCCAAGACCCACCACGCGGGCCCAGTGCAGATTGGAGGGTGCTAACGACTGCAGATGCCAAGTTAAGACCAACGGCTTAACGTGCCCTTCCGAAGCACGGAGGTGCTCGAGATAGTAATTTTTGGTCACCCATCCAATGACCGACCACTGCGAAAGTTGCTTAATTTCAACGATCGCAGGCGAACGCGCTAACCACTTGCGCCATCGAGCTCCTCTCAATATTATCTATTCAAATATTAATATTGTTCAGGGACCTTTTCAAAGAGGCCGCGTCTCGTGCGCCCTGCATCATATACATAGACGAAATGGACGCGGTGGGGCGGGCCAGGTCCTCAGGGGCCTCGTCCTGGGGCCCCGGAGGGGGGGAGGGGGAACAGACCCTCAACCAACTGCTGGTGGAGATGGACGGCATGAAGACCAAGGAGGGGGTCGTCGTACTGGCCTCCACTAACAGAGCCGATGTGCTTGACAAGGTACGCTCATGACAATCCCGATGTCTAGGATTAAACCCAATAATAGATCTTATTATATTTGTTTCTTAGGTTTTCACGCACATCACTCATTAAACAAAACTAGTTTTTACGGGTTAATGCACGAAACTTTATTTATTTATTGACGTTACGCAGCCTTTTCAGGTCTGCATCGTCAGAATAATGATTTTTTATTTAAAATTGTCGAGCTACCTTCGAAAGACTTATATTGAGCGTTCGGTTATTTCATTGGAAGATTTTTAAAATTTTATTGTCTATGTATGAAGTTATTATTTAATTTACTTAATAAAGTATTTTATTTAAAATTCTTGTTTGTAATTTTGAGTTTATTTATTTGACCCTAACTACCGTCAACTATCACCGGTTCCAAAATTGGGAGACCTTCCTGAGAAGAACCGGCGAAACAAAATCAAGAGAGGCTTTCTTTCAGAAACGTCAATAAATAAATAAAGTTTCGTGCATTAACCCGTAAAAACTAGTTTTATTATAGATCTTATTTCTTTAAAAGAGGCGTGAAGAAGCAACATGGTGTCCGGCTAAGTGAGGATAGCTGGTGCAGCAGGTAGAACTACTGGACTTCACCGTCACTTAACATTAGATGAGGTGGAGTCATTTGTCGGACCTATCTATATGGCGACCTTCGTGGCCGAGTAGTTAATGCGTCGGGTTTCATGATGTCGCCGACTAGAGAGGCCCCGGGTTCAAATCCCGGTGAGGACAGATGTTTGTGTGATGAATACGAGCATTTTTACTCCAGCCATGGATGTTTAATATGTATTTCTATATACATATCATTATCTTAATATATATAAATCTCGTGTCACAATGTTTGCCCTCAATGAACTCCTAAACCACTGAACCGATTATAATAAAATTCGCACACCATATGCAGTTCGATCCAACTTGAGAGATAGGATAGTTTAAAACTCAAATTATAGTCGCAATTTTAATTTATTGCAAATTATTACTTTTGGGCGGTACGAAGTTCGCCGAGTCAGCTAGTATCTTTATATATATAATTCTTCTGTGAGTGTGTATGTCACTGAACTTCTCTTAAACAAATGGACCGATTTTGATGAAATTTTTTGTGTGTGTTCAAGGGGATCTGAGAATGGTTTAGATTCACAATTTTGTCCGCTGGACAATGTTTTTTTATTTTTTTTTTTTTATTACTTTTGGGCGGTACGAAGTTCGCCGAGTCAGCTAGTCTTTATATATATAATTCTTCTGTGAGTGTGTATGTCACTGAACTTCTCTTAAACGACTGGACCGATTTTGATGAAATTTTTTGTGTGTGTTCAAGGAGATCTGAGAATGGTTTAGATTCACAATTTTGTCCGCTGGACAACCCCTATTTTTTTAGGGCGGTACGAAGTTCGCTGGGTCAGCTAGTATCATTATATATGTACAGTATATGTATTCCATCCATTACCCTAGTATCCCATAACATAAGCCTTACAGTGCTTACTTTGGGACTAGGGTAATTGGTGTGAGTGTTAGAAATATTTATTTATTTATTTTCTAGGCTCTGCTACGGCCCGGCAGATTCGACAGACACATTCTGATCGACTTGCCGACCCTGCAAGAGAGAGAGGAGATATTTCAGCGCCATCTCAAAAGTATCGTGCTCGAAGAATTGCCACCGCACTACGTGAAAAGGTATAGTACTAAAGTTGTTTGTTGATATCCACGGATTCGTCATACATGAAATGAAAATGAAATGAAATGAAAAGTCATTTATTCAGTCTAGGCTGTTACAAGCACTTGTGAAGGTCAAGAAGCTACGCTATCGGTTCGCAAAACTACGGCGGGAGACCTTGTAATGAGAAGAACCGGTGAGAAACTCAGCAAGGACTGCTTTTCTCTCCCTGTATTGATATGTATACAGAGTCGTCAAGTTCAAAAATGACTTCAGAGATACTTCTGAAGTCACCTTCCATTACATTATTTAGGATATAGATATATACAGTACCAATAATAATTTTATATTTAGTATATAGGAAGCGGCACTAGATAGGTACCATATTACTGTTACAAAAACTGACTCATACCCATCAAATAACAAATTACAAGAAACACTATGTCCAAACCATACAAAACCTTATCCCCAGTTTACCCCAAATGTTTCTTTTTCAAGCTTTGTTTTGTCAAAATTTAATCCATATTCTTTTTAAAGTTTTCCATTTATTGCCACTCTCTTATTTATTGGTTCACTGGTCTAGATTTGAAAGAAAAAATCGGTTAACTGTAAAGTCGGTTTACTGACGATAGTTGAACGTGACTACATTTTTTTACAATGTACATAGTTTTTACAAGTATGAATGTTTTTTGAGCAATTGTTTTACAACTTTTAAACATGTGTGATATGATTACCTCTATCGCCGCAATTATAGTTGCTATAAACAATTGACACCATATTCACTTTTCACTGCACTTCATACGTGACGAAAACATGTAAATGTATTATTGTATAGCAGCTGTCCACGCGGACGCATCGCTCACTCAAGTAGGAGAGAGGCAGATGTCGAACGCTGCTTAACGCGGAGGCCGATTGTGCCTCTTTGTCGCTCGTTGCGCGCTCTTGCTTGCACTTAAAGCCTTAAATGGAACGCCTCAGAGCGAGGTAACTTGAAGCCGGCTCCATCGAATTATAAGACGTTGTCACGTCAAAAAGTAATTTACAAAACTAGTTGAGTTAACCGATGAATAGCTCAACTTTGTTTACTAATAAATGAATTTCAGTCACTCATAGGTCAACTGTTCTGTTCTTTTTCATGTTATCATTTCAGTTAATCGTGTTAAGTTAAAAACTACTAAACCATTTTGTTATAAGCTGGCAAATTCGATTTTGGTAATCTGTAACATAACAATGTAACAAACATACTTAAGGTGATTCTTTACATAGAGTTGGCCTAACTACAAATAATTTGTGCTATTTATTAGCAAGCTCAAAAACCAATATGAATAACAAAAAAGTGATGTAACTGTTAGCTAAAAAGTTATCTATATATATAAAACTCAAAGGTGACTGACTGTCAGTCAGTCAGTCACCTTTGAGTTTTATATGAAAAAGAACAGAACAGTTGACCTATGAGTGACTGAAATTTATTGAAGTTATACTTCTTTAGGCGCGTTATGAAAAAATGATGAGAGTGAAATTTTAAAATGCGCGCGCATCACTGTAACACAAAATTTTAACAGCATGAAGTTGGTCGCTTTAGCGACCAACTTCATGCGTTATTTTTGTGTTTACCGCACATTAAGAAAATCTACCAACAAAATAGAAATAGAATCTCTATTTAGTGGGTGCTAACGACTGCATTGTGAAGGCCTATCAAAAGTATTTATTAATCTGGAACAACGGAACCAAAACGCGATTCAGGAGACTACAGCGCCATCTCTTGACCATTGGTGTAGTAGAACCAAAAATCACATCTTTATTTTTTGTAATAAAGTAACAGTTATAGGTATTCATATTTATAATATTTATCCACATGTTTCTAGTTTGTATATTCGGAATACGTGTTTGAATTTCATACAAGTGCAAATCACATATGTTCTAATAAATTATATTCAGTAGCGATTTTAATTGAATATTTTGATTATTTATTTATTTTTTCAAATTAAAACTGAACTTTATTGACTGTGTCCTTTTCCAGACTTTTTATTAATTTATTGTAATTAATTATTTGCATGCAATTAAAAACTAATTTTAAACGATGCCAAAGAAGGATAACTTCTCACGCGCCTACATAAGTACACGCACCCATTTTTTTATTAGTAAACAAAGTTTAGCTATTCATCGGTTAACTCAACTAGTTTTGTGAATTACATTTTGACGTGACGTCTTATAATTCGATGGAGCCGGCTGCGCGCACGAAAAAACATGACTCAACCGGCGTTACCTCGCTCTGAGGCGTTCCATTTAAGGCTTGAAGTGCAAGCGAGAGCGCGCAACGAGCGACAAAGAGGCACAATCGGTCTCCGCGTTCGGCAGCGTTCGTGATATAGTGATCTATCAACGCACAGCCCAAACCAATGGACGGATCGGGCTGAAATTTGGCATGCAGGTAGATGTTATGACGTAGGCATCCGTTAAGAAAGGATTTTGATCAATTCTATCCCCAAGGGGATAAAATAGGGAATGAAAGTTTGTATGAAACTTTGTCAATTTTAAACCGATCGGGCTGAGACTTTGCATGCAAGAATCATAGATGAATGTCATTGTGTATAATACAAGCCTGATAACAAAAACTGTAGTCTACACTTCAGCTCTACACCGAAGCGAAGCGAGGGCGAGCAGCTACTTCAATATAATATTATTAATAATATTTAGTAATTTACTTGAACGCTAGCTCTGACGAGAGCCAAGTTTTTCTCCCATGATTCCGCTCTATCCGGCCAATGAAAGACCCTTACTCATTTTCTTGCTCAGTTTTCCTAGTCTTGTGTGTTCTCTAATGCCAAAATCAAACGTCAAAAATGACGCGAAGATAGCTGGTGCAGCAGTTCTACCTGCCACACCAGCCATCCTCACCCTGCCGGCCTGCATGTTGCTTCTTCACGCCTCTTTTAAAGGATCCCAGGTTGTAAGAGGGAGGGAACACGTGAGCGGGCAGAGCATTCTATTTACGGATAGTGCGACAAAGAAATGAGTCCCCAAATTTCATTGTACGCGTTGGAATTAAATTGAATTCTTTCGTTCAACATTTTTGACGTTCGATTTTGGCATTTTGTTTGCCCACATTTATGGAGATCAATCGTTTATATTTGTGCTTCATGCTCAGGAGTTCGGTGAAGTAGTGCCGCTCATGGAGTTGCAATTTAAAACTTTTTTCGTTCAACATGGTTGACGCTTTTTTCATTTTTCCCTATTGTTTTGGTATTTAGTTTACCCATATTTATGGACATCAATTGATGATGATCATGGGACCTAGCTTCCAAATTCAAGAAAATTATTGGCAAATAGTTAGAAATTTCAATATATAGACAACCCAAAGCGGGTTTGGATTTTGATTCAACCCCCCTCGCGATTAATAGTTAAATGCCCTTCTAGGCTCTTATATCTTATTTCGTCCTATCCATATTGCTTTAAAACACAATTTTGTTTCTCCCACTTAAAACCCCTTTTTTATTTTTATTATGACAATTTTTCTTATCAGCTCAAATATGTCCTGAATGGAATGGGTGGTAGGGAAAAATATTGGCCGATTCAAAACAGCTTTCTATAAGTAAATAAAGGACATGGCTAAGAAACTGCCCTTAACGTGTATAATTATTTAGCACTAGCCCATAATTTTATAATATTTTTTTATTAATTATCACGTGTTTATAATTCTCATACAACTTTCGTGAATAATCAAATATTTAAAAGTATAAAAATTGACTTCATGTCTGTTTCAAAAGGAAAATGTTCCGTTTTACTTAAATAAATGAACAATAAATGTATACTAAAAATATTTCTGTCGGTATATCCAAATAAACAATATTAATTCAAAACTCCCAAAAGCTATGACATATTTGTCCCTTATTTTTATAATAACAAATCACTGAAGGCCTAAAATAATAGATTTTATTTTTCTGATCAGGCCTTAGAGAAGGCTGAATGATAATTAATGCTTTGATTTTTACAAATGAACAAAATAAAACTCCACAGATTTCATGTCAGCCCGGCAACAACAAATTATTTGTATTTATTTTTACTTTTAAAAATGCTTTTTTGAAGTGTTAATCAGATAAATGTGCAGAAATATTCTAAGAAAATGCGAAATTGATGACTCTGTAAATAATTTGTAACATCTTTTATCAAAAGTAGCAAGGTAATGACGTCGTAGAAGATTTCATAATTTTCAAGATTGTGACTTTATCAAAAGTTCCTGAGCCCTTTTTCATAGAAATTATAAATATTCAGCCATTCTGCATTATATATTACTAAGTACAAAATTTTTATATTGCTAGGGCAGTCGCTCATACAAAATTTTACCATGTCCTTTCAATAAAGTATAATTTCATTTCCCCCTTTAGGCTGGCGTACTTAACGCCCGGGTTTAGCGGCGCAGACATAGCAAACGTATGCAACGAGGCAGCTTTGCATGCCGCTCGTTATAAGCAGAGCCTAGTGAGAGCAGGAGACCTGGAGTACGCCATCGAACGGGTGGTAGGTGAGTGCGTAGTGCTGTAGTACTGTAGTACTGACTACCGGGAACAGGGGTCACAGAAGCAACTTGATAACAAATTAAGATTCTGGCATTCTTCTTCAAAACCTTAACTTAAGAGCCCTTTCACATTTTTTGCAAAAAATCGTAATTTTTGAGAACCTCGTTTACCCCCCTTAGAAAAGATTTTGACTATTTCCAATAGAAGTAAACAGTAGATTTATTCTTCCTATTGTAAGTTAATGTAGAATATTTGCAAATACTATTTTCCTTTTTTTGTACTGATCGTTCTACCGCAGCTAGTTTACAGAAAAAACGATAATATGCACAACTTCAAACGCCTGAATCTCTAAATAATGTTCAATAAATTAGATCAAATTAATTACTACGACATCAGAAATATGTTTTTGTTGTAACATAATGTATTTGAATTTGGATTTTCTATCTCATTAATTATCTTAAAAAAAAAAACATCTTACCTCCGTGAGTTTTCCCAAAAAATAATGCAGGTTTACATCGTATTTTGATATTGAATTAAATATAATTACTATCAAATACTTTCATAAAACTAATCTACCATCATTAAACTACTGAAATATGTAGATATATTTATAATTACTTCATTAATAATTTATTTTATAAGACTCGAAACATCACCCGTAAAATGCAATATATACTAGTGCAAATCTACCTACGCGCCGATCAGTACGGCAGGGCCGCAATTTTGTAAAAGGGCTCTTAAATTTGTCAACAGTGTAAGGATACACTGTTGGAGTTCCCTATATAAAATAAAAAGGAGAGACTAATGTAAAAAAAAAACTTTAAAAATCTAATTAAATATTGCTTCTATTCTGTGGATGCATATTTAAATTTCAAGTAGTGTTAATCAGATAAATGTGCAGAAATATTCTAAGAAAATGCGAAATTGATGACTCTGTAAATAATTTGCAACATCTTTTATCAAATGTAGCAAGGTAATGACGTCGTAGAAGATTTCATAATTTTCAAGATTGTGACTTTATCAAAAGTTCCTGAGCCCTTTTTCATAGAAATTATAAATATTCAGCCATTCTGCATTATATATTACTAAGTACAATATTTATACATTGCTAGGGCAGTCGCTCATACAAAATTTTACCATGTCCTTTTAATAAAGTATAATTTCATTTCCCCCTTTAGGCTGGCGTACATAAATTATACATATTTAAATTTCAAGTAGATAATAATTTAATATATGAATGCACAGTTATTAAAAAAATATTAAAATATGTTTGATGACTATTTTTTAGAAATGTTTAAAAATTGTCCATATAATAAATCAATTTTAGTATATAATAATATACCAGAATACGTAGAGAAAGAGGAAAACCTTGATAAATTTTAAAACTATTAAAATCATACTTTTACACACTTTTTACTATTCACTAGATGACAGGGCTTGAAATTGGTTTCGAAAATACCGGTAAATAAAGGTTAATACCGGTTTTTAGTAAAGGTTTCGTTCGGAGCGCGTCCGAAATGAAAGCGGTACCTGAAACCTTAATAAACCAGTTTAATCCAGAGCGACACGTGCACGCGTCGGCATCGCTTGAAGTTTGTTTTGTTTGAACTAATCAAGTCACAACTTGTTAATGCTCAGAGATTGATTCATTTATTTACACGTTTGCTAGCATCTAGTGAGGCAAATTATTCATTTATTATCGACGCCGTCAGTAAGAGCGAAATGAAACCCTTTATAAACCGCTAAATTGATTCGAAACCTATTTAATTTCGCTTTTAAGGAAAACCGGTTTTTTAAGGTTAAGGTAGAGCCAAACCTAAATAAAACGCTCCTAATGTACTTGACACTGTTTTAGGTTTGAAAGTTAACCGGTAAACAAGCCCTGCTAGATGGATTTTTAACGCAATAATATAGCAAATACTAACTATCTGTTTTAATCTAAACTATTCACTATTGAATTATAATAATTTAATATAAATATTGACATAATATAATGACCGAGAAGAAATGCTAATAAAAATGAAATATGCATTAAATTCAATATTTTACTTATAAATACTTATTTATTATATAATTTTAATCAACTTAATTTTGCAATACCCTTACAGGATCATGTACTATAACTAAGAATATATGTAATATAAAAAAATAGTTTGAAGTTTAGACCCGGAGGGTGCCGTTTCGAGCCTGATGCCTGGTCCGCGTGTAATTTTATCTAGTAGAACTTTTCCTTAGATTTAGTATTTTATTCATTTTTTACTAACCATTTCGTTTAACCTTTTCAGGTGGCACAGAGAAGCGAAGCCATGCTATGTCTCCGGCAGAAAAGAAGATAGTGGCATATCATGAATCAGGGCATGCGCTCATCGGATGGCTGTTAGAACATACGGACGCGTTACTGAAAGTCACTATAGTGCCACGAACTAATATGGCGCTGGGTTTTGCACAATACACTACGTCTGACCAGAAACTGTATTCTAAGGAAGAGGTGAGTATTCTAAATAATCACGACAAGATTAAAAGATCATTAAATAAATAAATAAATATTTCCGACACTCACACCAATTAGCATAGCCCCTAAGTAAGCACTATAAGGCTTGTGTTATGGGATGCTAGGGTAACGGATAGAATACACATACTGTACATATATAAGTATATTTATATAAATACATATTTAACATCCATGACTGGAGTACAGATGCTCGTATTCATCACACAAACATCTGCCCCCACCGGGATTTGAACCCGGGACCTCTCGAGTCGCCGACAGCCATGAAACCCGGCGTACAAACCACTCGGCCACGGAGGTCATCAAATCATTAGAATGATGATAGGTCAATGGATGGGTGTCCAAAGTTTTACTATCGTTAAGCTACTCCGTGCTTCGGAAAGCACGTTAAGCCGTTGGTCCAACGTTAGCACCCACCAATCCGCACTGGGCCCGCGTGGTGGGTCACGGCCCAATCTCCCTATTCCATCCATAAGGAAGGCCTGTGCCCCAGCAGTGGGAACAATAATAGGCTTAGATTTGATGTGAAAGCCAACGATTGTGGTGGTGGAAAAAGTGGTTCCGCGCAAACTGCGATCAAGTTGGGCGAAAAAATGCGGTCAACACGCCGATCACGGGATTGGTTGGGATTTCTGTTTAACAAAGCTTACCCACTGAATGGATAGCCGAATTCTAGTTCGATCTAGTTATATTTAAGTTATATCCGTTATATTTATTTATAATGGCACAATAACAGGCATCAGTCAGAAAAAAACAATAGAAGTACCTACAAAAAGATATGAAAAACTATGGGCATGCCTGTGCCCAATTACAATTGTGCACAACATTTACATACATAAATAGACATCGAACAAAAAATTAAAATTAAACAGAGTTAAATCTCTTATCTATTAGACAAGTCCATCTGTCTGTGGTGCTGTTTCAGCGGTCAAACCGTAAGAGATAGATAAAGAGAATGTTTAAGTTATAAGTTGAGAATAGTCTGATAAGACTACAAACCGGATGTGAGTAACGTAGCACTTCCGGTTTTCGAGAAATCACGTGATTCAAGTCCGTCCGTCCGTCCGTGGTGCTGTTTCAGCGGTCAAACCGTAAGAGATAGATAAAGAGAATGTTTAAGTTATAAGTTGAGAATAGTCTGATAAGACTACAAACCGGATGTGAGTAACGTAGCACTTCCGGTTTTCGAGAAATCAGGTTTTGGTGAACATTTGGTTCACTGGTTTGCTAGTATTAATGTAATTCACATACACCTGAATCAATATAGGCTTTGCAGAGTGGGGAATAACTTTAGTTTTATAATTTTTAGTGTTCAGCACAATTTTTAACAAAGAATTCTTGAAAGAGAGTAAGCTACAGTTAAACATGTCATGATCAGAGCAAATATTGTTAAAGTATGAACACATTCTGTTCAATGGGCCGTTCAGCGAAACATTATTTGTGTCCACAAAATAATTGTGATTTACGCACAGACCGTGTAGGCACCTTAAGCCCGCCACAGTATTATTATTATAATCTCTTATCTAATAGACAAGTCCGTCCGTCCGTCCGTGGTGCTGTTTCAGCGGCCAAACCGTAAGAGATAGATAAAGAGAATGTTTAAGTTATAAGTTGAGAATAGTCTGATAAGACTACAAACCGGATGTGAGTAACGTAGCACTTCCGGTTTTCGAGAAATCACGTGATTTCTATTTCAAACGAAACCACACAAAATCTCCGAAGTTCTCAATTAATTAAATACATTTTTTTTTCTTTTTTGGGTGAACATTTGGTTCACTGGTTTGCTAGTATATATTAATATGAATCATAGCAAGACATATTACAGCATATTTTCAATATAAATTTTCGAGTAACCGCACACGCAGCTATAATATATATTTCTATGGCGTCACCAAAATATGTCAACAAATATATCTTGGTATATTTTGGCATGTTAGTATATATTTTTACTAGCAAACCAGTGAACCAAATGTTCACCGAAACCTGATTTAAAAAAAAAATGTATTTAATTAATTGAGAACTCCGGAGATTTTGTGTGGTTTCGTTTGAAATTCCTGATTTCTCGAAAACCGGAAGTGCTACGTTACTCAAATCCGGTTTGTAGTCTTATCAGACTATTCTTGACTTATAACTTAAATATTCTCTTTATCTATCTCTTACGGTTTGGCCGCTGAAACAGCACCACAGACGGACGGACTTGTCTAATAGATAAGAGATTTTTATGAGACTGAATGTTCCATTTTTCACCGAACGCCTGCCAATATATATAAAAATATATATTATAATATAGCTCCCGTCTGTGGTAGTTTGCTATAATATAATATATATCTCGATATATTTATATATATATTATAGCTACGTCTGTGGTGGACTTTAAACTTCAGAGCTTCAATCAGGCAACTGCCGGATGATCCATTGGCATATTGTATGTGTTATGTGTCGGTCATTGGATGGGTGACCAAAAATTTACTATCTCGAGTTCCTCCGTGCTTCGGAAGGCACATTAAGCCGTTGGTCCCGGCTGCATCTGCAGTCGTTAGCACCCACCAATCCGCACTGGGCCCGTGTGGTGGGTCATGGCCCAATCTCCCTATTCCATCCATAGGGAAGGCCTGCGCCCCAGCAGTGGGGACATTGATAGGCTGATGATGATGATAATTGGCAAATACAGTGCGATAGGGACAACAGTAGTTAACGCTGAAAATCGATATCTTTATATATATAATTCTTCTGTGAGTGTGTATGTCACTGAACTTCTCTTAAACGACTGGACCGATTTTGATGAAATTTTTTGTGTGTGTTCAAGGGGATCTGAGAATAGTTTAGATTCACAATTTTGTCCGCTGGACAACCCCTATTTTTTTAGGGCGGTACGAAGTTCGCTGGGTCAGCTAGTACATATATAAAACTCAAAGGTGACTGACTGACATAGTGATCTATCAACGCACGTTAAGCCGTTGGTCCCGGCTGCATTTGCAGTCGTTAGCACCCACCAATCCGCACTGGGCCCGCGTGGTGGGTCATGGCCCAATCTCTCTATTCCATCCATAGGGAAGGCCTGTGCCCCAGCAGTGGGGACTTTAATAGGCTGATGATGATGATGATGATGCGTTTCAGTTGTTCGACCGCATCTGTATGGCGCTTGGAGGGCGCGCTGCTGAAGCCATAGTGTTCAACTCCATCACTAGCGGAGCACAGAATGACCTGGAGAAAGTCACCAAGATCGCCTACGCGCAGGTATATCAGCTGCTAATATAGAAAGTATTTTCGTTCTGCAAAAGAGAGCTGTTCGCGCCATATCTCTTATCTATAAGACAAGTCTGTGGATATAAACGTGTGTATATACGGGTGTTGTTTAATGATACATACAGTTTCTTGGTAATCCAATGTATTCGGGAATCCCACAATTTATCACACGTAACAATTATCACGATGTACACAGAAGGCTAATACGGTAACACAATACAACACGTAGAAACAAATATTATAAGCGAACAAACGAGATCGGTAACAACAACTGGTAAACAGATTTGAGCGCATCAACGTCGGACATTGACTGGAGTTCACGCATTCAAAAAGGCGGTGGTTTTCGCACGATACGCGAAACTACCTACGCGCGTAGAACAAAGCCAGGGATGTTGCGAACATTCGCATCTGCATCCGCAAATGCGGAACATCCGCATTGATTTGGACATCTGCATCTGCTTCCGCATCCGCATTAATCAATGCGAATGTTCATGCGGATGCGAATATTATACAAGTAGCGACAAGAAAGAAATTGGGCGGGGCCGGTGATTGACTCGTGCCGGCCGCACGTGAAAATAACCAATGGGAGCGAAGAAATTGGTGACAAGATTCGACACGTTTGTTTGTTCTAGCTAGTGCATCATTTGTTTCTTGCAAGTGAATAAATATTACGTGTTTGTTTGCGCTGTGAAGTGAAAGTGAACTACTTATCGTATCATAAAGATAGATAGGTATTTTTAATCTTGTTGTGATACAGTGTGTAAATAAGAAGAGTTTACAAGAAAACTTTATATTATTTAAGACTAATATCCATAAGATCACAAGGTAAATTCTATTATATTACGCTGGTAATACGTTTTATTGTAGGAAAAATTATCGTTTTATGACGAAATTCGTTATTTTTCCAGTGTGATTACGTTGTCATTGTTTTAATTCTTCATTAATAGACTTTATTTACATAATATCTTATACATCCGCATCCGCATCTGCATCCGCGGATGTGAGCCTGCTAAACTCCGCATCCGCATCCGCATCCGCGGATGTGAAAATATCGACATCTGCAACATCCCTGGAACAAACGGCGCGTTTCCATTGCACTATGCGAGTTACGTTTCTCCGGCATATTTATCGTATGAAGTGAATTAAGTTTATTGATGAATACTTATAAAAGATTTTGACTTATTGTTAATGTGTCCGTGTAATGTATCTAGTGTGATGTAAATATTAAAGTTATGTAAATAGTTATAGTTTGTATATAAAGTTTAAATTAAATTAGTTTTTAGTTTGTGTAAATAAATATATTAAATATTTTAATACTAGTAGTTATATTAAATAAATAAAATAGAAGCCCACAAGTCCGTCCGTCCTTCTTGACCTTCACAAGTGCTTGTAACAGCCTAGACTGAATAAATGACTTTTCATTTCATTTCATATAGTCTGTTGCAAACGAATTTAGACCGAAAGTAAATGAAATGAAATGAAAAGTCATTTATTCAGTTCACAAAACTACGGTGGGAGACCTTGTACTGAGAAGAACCGGCAAGAAACTCAGCAAGGGCTGCTTTTTTCTCCCTGTGTTGATATATACAGACTCATCAGGTTGAAAAATGACTTCAGAGATACTTCTGAAGTCACCTTCCATTACATTATTTAGGTTAACAATAAATTTTATATTTTGCCGACCTCCGGGCCTCCGTGGTCGAGTGGTTTTTACGCCGGGTTTCATGGTGTCGCCGACTCGAGAGGTCCCGGGTTCGAATCCTGGCGGGGGCAGATGTTTGTGTGATGAATACGAGCATTTTTACTCCAGTTATGGATGTTAAATATGTATTTCTACATGAATATAGTTATATATGTACTGTATTCTTATATGTATTCTATCCGTTACCCTAGCATCCCATAACACAAGCCTTACAGTGCTTACTTTGGGGCTAGGCTAATTGGTGTGAGTGTTGAAAATATTTATATTTATTTAGTGTATAGACTAGACTGAATAGCTCGATAGCGCAAGTGGTTAGAGCGTTCGGCTGCGATCGTTGAAGTTAAGCAATTTCCGCAGTGGTCGGTCATTGGATGGGTGGCCAAAAATTACTATCTCGAGCTCCTCCGTGCTTCGGAAGGCACGTTAAGCCGTTGGTCCCGGCTGCATCTGCAGTCGTTAGCACCCACCAATCCGCACTGGGCCCGCGTGGTGGGTCATGGCCCAATCTCCCTATGCCATCCATAGGGAAGGCCTGTGCCCCAGCAGTGGGGACATTAACTGGGGACTTTAACTCCTAATTCCCACGCAATGGCTCACTAAATTGATAGCGCTCTGTGAATCCCCATCACTAAACTGTCTAACGTCGGACTAACCTACCTCTTTGTTAAATAATTGTCTTTTAAATTTTCTTTTCTTTTTGGAACTTTGGTAATTGGTGAATTTTGGTAATAGTTGAATTTTGAATAGACTTTTCGGTGCAATACCTTTCACAGACTACAGACAATAGGGTATTTGATAGTATTAAAAATAAGGTGCCAATTGTTAGCATCTGTGTTTAGAATGAATATTGGCAAGGGTTTTTACTATTTTTACAAAAAAAACATATTCATAATTTTACTAAAAACTAACGAAAAAGATAATAGTTTTCTTATCTATTGTCACATGACCCAAAACGCTTGGGATTGGCGCAGCCTAAAATGACGTCACACGCAAGTAAACTTCCGGTTAAAGTGACATTACATTGTATCGTTTGACGTTTTAATAACAGTCGTGTGACGTCTCACACTAGTGAGACGCCATATTGTCCAGAGAAACGTTTTCGCGGCAACTTGAAAATGGAGTTTTTGATTTGGTTATTTTTACTGAAATATACAACAGAATGATGAATATCTAATCTTTTTACGGATTCCATAAACATTCGTCTATAACGTGAGATCGTTTTCTAAAACTTTTCAAATACCCTATTGTCTTTTAAATTTTCTTTTCTTTTTGGAACTTTTGTAATTGGTGAATTTTGGTAATACTTGAATTTTGAATAGACTTTTCGGTGCAATACCTTTCAACCACAGACAACAGACAATTCCCATCTTTCAAAATAACCTTAAGTTTCGACTCAACTTTTTATTTTCATTTTTTTAATTAGTGCTTTAAAAGATAGTGAATTAATGAGTCAGAGTTATTGCGTGGGAATAAGGTGTATTTTTGGTCAAAATTCGTTTGCGTAACATACTTTAGTCAGGCTATTAGACTGTATGAAAAATAATGTAGCAATTTTTGCTTTTTTAATTTTTTTAGTATTTAACTGCTAGATGTTTAAATCTAAAGAAAATTTTACTAGAATAGAAATCCACGCGGACCAGGCAGCAGTCGGGACTCGAACCCGCATATAACTACAATTAAAAAAAACATAAAACTACCATTGCTATTTCTTCTTTCAAATGTTTTATACTTGTAAAGGTATTCATTTAACATTGTGTGTTTTCCTATAATGCGAAGAGATGGCGCTGCCTTGCAGCTCAAGAAATACTAGAGAAAATTCGATGCGGACAATTATGGTCAGTGCATCCGCCTGGATAGCGGAGGGTGCTAGTTCGAGTCACTTCTTCTGGCTGGTCCGCGTGGAATTATTTCTAGTAATATTTTCTTTAGTTAGGAATGTTAGGACACAGATTCGTCAAATTGAACAATGACTTACCTATAAAAGTCAAAAGACAAAAAATATTTATTCATATTGGATGCACAATACAACTCTTTTGCATCGTTCATATTTTTTCTCCTACCACCAGTTAATGACATTTATTTAGCTGTGGAGAAAAACTGGCGAAAGAAACTTCACAGCGTTAAATAATTACGTAGCAATATTTACAAAATATTATATTTTACAAAATATTATATTTTGTAAATATTGTTAAGGTGTCAATACAAAATCATATCATATTCTACATAATAGGGTATTTGACAAGTTTTAGAAAACGATCTCACGTTATTGACTAATGTTTATGGAGTTCGTAAAAAGTGGATATTCATAATTCTGTTGTGTATTTCAGTAAAGATAACCAAATCAAAAACTCCATTTTCAAGTTGCCGCGAAATCGTTTCTCTGGACAATATGGCGTCTTACTAGTGTGTGACGTCACACGACTGTTATAAAAACGTCAAACGATACAATGTTATGTCACTTTAACCGGAAGTTTACTTGCGTGTGAAGTCATTTTAGGCTCCGCCAATCCCAAGCGTTTTGGGTCACGTGACAATAGACAAGTAGTATTTTTTTTTGTAAAAATAGTAAAATCCCCTGCCAATATTCATTCTAAACACAGATGCCAACAATTGGAACACTGTCGAATACACTATTATAGAAGAAGTCTGCCGGAACGTTTGGAACAGTTTAAAGTTCGAGTCGCCCGGCGCTTGCGCTGACGTCCGGTCGTGTGTGCGTGAGTCGTTGCTATAAACAATGGCTTCTAATGTCGTGAAATGTACAAGTTGCAATTTGGTGATAAATGAAGTTTTAGCTTTCATTTGTAATAAAATAGATGTGATGGACGAACCGGGTATCACCCAAATATGTGTTAGTGCTTTTTCGGAGAGTGAAATATTGGATGCCAAAAACTTGCTATTTGAATCCATAACGACCTCGAAGCGCAAAAAGATAAGAAAACGTCTTGGAAAAACGCAGCGAGATATTGATGACATTGTCTGCTTATTGAAGGAGACGGACCCTGAAGAAATTCCGGTGTTTGTGGCGCGAGATCTGCAGAAGTTACCTCCCGTGCTATTTGACCACGTCGATGTAACCCGAATTTTGAAAGATATTGTTAGAATGAGGAGTGATCTGGACCGTTTTTCTAAAGAGTGTGCAACATTGGATCAGTTAAAAGAACTTCGGTCTGACATCGAATCGCTTAAGACCGCATCGATTGTGAACAATTTTTCAAGAAATGTAAATATGACGAGAGGTGCTACATGTTTGCCTAGTTTTGAGTGTGAAAGCGGGCCGATGGGCTTGTCACCACTTTGTACTGAAAACAAAATAATCAATAAACATTCCACTGCGAGCCCTATAAAATCTCGTATCACTTTTTCTGAGGAGGGTAAAACGAAAATACCAACAGCCGTGCATTTTGTGTGTAACGGGTCACCGGCTGTGACTGCGAGCGAATCGACGATAGCCGACCGCTTGTCAGCTGACGGCCGAGCTATGCCGAGTGAGCTGGGTCACGTCGCGGTCGCCGCCGCCGCACTCCCGACGACGTGCGCCGCCGACATGACTAATATTACTGAGGATGCGGGAACTATTGTAATTCGGGCGCATGAAAACAAACAGAATAGCGATGAGAGTGTGAAGAAATTATTTTCGAATGTAGTTACGGGGGGTCAGTTTAAGACGCAAGTTCCAAACGAAGATTGGATTCTTGTGCAAAGACGGAGACTACGAAATCGTTTTGTAGGAAAGTCTGGAAAAGCTATTGTTGATAATAATTTTAATTTCAAAGCAGCCGAGAATAATATACCCATTTATTTGTATAATGTATCAAAAGAAACTACAGAGTGTGACATTAAAAATTACATTAAAAATCAATGTAATTTAGAAACTCAAGTGGAAAAGGTGAACATGAAATTATCAAGAAATTACAATGCCTTCAAAGTATTTGTTCCGGGACGTGACCTTGAAATGTTTCTCAAAGATGATTTTTGGCCCAATGGCGTTTTATATCGCCGTTTTGTGGATTTTAGTAGAAACACTACGAGATCATATCGTGACATTGAATCTATAAATAAAATTAATGGATAGTAGTAATACAAAATTAATAAGTTTTAACTGCAAAAACGTCACAAGGTCAATCGAATGTGTGAGAAGACTCTGTCTTTCGGCAGACATAATTGCATTGCAAGAAACCTGGCTTTTACCTCAGGATGTGTCGTTCCTGGGAAGCATTGACCCGGCATTTTCCTTTACGGGCAAGTCAGCTGTTGACACTAGTGCTGGAGTGCTACGGGGGAGGCCTTACGGAGGCGTTGCCTTGCTATGGAGATCTGCGAAGTTCTCGGCGGTGACGGTGATACCTTGTCGTAGTGATCGTCTCGTCGCGGTCAAAATAGTGCTCAGCGATCGGTCCTTCATTGTGGCGTCAGTGTACATGCCTACTGATAAAAACGAAAACCTAACGGAATTCACCGAGTGTCTGAGTGAGTTGAATGCTATTATCGAAAGTGCTAGTGTTGAATCTGTAGTAATCCTTGGAGATTTCAACGCACATCCAGGTGAGCTGTTTTGTAATGAACTATGTGCATTTTGTGCCGATCAATTGTGGTCTTGTGTGGACTTGGAACTATTACCTTTAACTACTTATACATTTGTGAGTGGGGCACACGGGTGTCGTCGCTGGCTTGATCATTGTGTAGTGACGAGTGCCGCACGTCCCTTAATATTAAATGTGTCAGTATTATACGATACCTACTGGTCTGACCACTATCCGCTATTAGTTGAATGTAATTTAAATATTATCCTACCCAAGATTGTAAAATCTAATTCTAACAATTCTTCTCAAAGTGGTGTGACATGGGGGATAAGGGACTCGAATCAGGTATCGAATTATCATAGTTTGTGTAATTCTGATCTCAAAAATATTGACTTTCCTATAGAACTTAGTAGTTGTGCTGACAAAATATGTAAAAACAAAGATCATACTATATTGTTAAATAATTTGTATAATGACATTGTAAATATATTATCTAAAGCAGCGAAAAATAGCTGCCAGTCACGTAGAAAGAAAAAACATAAATATGTCACTGGGTGGAATAAACATGTTAAGGCCGCTCACAGGCGGGCTCGACTTTGTTTTCAAAAGTGGGTAGCTTGCGGTAGGCCTATTTCTGGTAATATATTTCAAAATATGACTGATTCTAGAAAAATGTTTAAAAATAAGTTAAAATATTGTCAAAATAATGCTACACAAATTAAAATGGATATAATTGCGGAAAATCACGCTAATAAAGATTTCACCAGTTTTTGGAAAAACACAAATAAGTTAAACCCGAGGTCGAGTCTCCCTGTGAATGTGGGTGGTTCATGTGAGCCCCGCCATATTGCTTGCGTTTTCCAACAGTCCTTTAGGGTGGTCTCACCGCTCGGGGGCGTGTCTCAGATGCTCGACGACGAGGTTTTTTCAGGGGATTTGACGGTTAGATTCTCAAGTAAAGATGTTGTTAATGTCATTGCAAAAATGGAGAGAGGTAAATCGCCTGGATACGATGGCCTGAGTATTGAGCACTTGAGACATGCAGGTGTACACTTACCAAGAGTACTTTCTATGCTTTTTAATTTGTGTATAAGTCATAGCTACTTACCTGAAAATTTAATGCGCACAGTGGTTGTGCCTATTGTGAAAAATAAGTCCGGTGATCACGCGAATGTTTCCAATTACAGGCCTATCTCGTTGGCAACAATAGTGGCTAAGGTACTGGACAGTCTGCTTGATCAACAACTAGCAAAGCACGTTAACTTGCATGATGCTCAGTTTGGCTTTAGGCCCGGCCTGTCTACAGAGAGTGCTATTTTCTGTCTTAAGCAGACTGTTCAGTATTACACTGCTCGTAAAACACCTGTGTATGCCTGTTACCTGGATTTATCAAAAGCTTTCGATCTTGTAAATTATGACAAATTATGGCAGAAGCTCCGAAATGAAACAAGCGTGCCACATGAGGTAACTTCACTGTTTAAGTATTGGTACAGTAATCAGCAGAATACTGTAAGGTGGGGAAGCGCAATGTCGGATGTGTATTTGTTGGAGTGCGGTGTGCGGCAGGGAGGGCTGAGCTCGCCCCGCCTTTTCAACCTTTATATAAACCGGCTGATCGGTGAGCTCAGTGGTACCAATGTTGGTTGTTCGGTAGACGGGATTAGTATTAACAATGTAAGTTATGCCGATGACACGGTGCTACTGTCTCCATCGATTGCGGCCCTAAGAAAACTCCTGCGTATCTGTGAGGAATATGCAGATACCCATGGGCTCAGATACAATGTTAATAAGAGCGAACTGATGATTTTCAAGGCTGGTGCCAAAACCTACTCATCTGTACCTCAAGTGACGCTCTATGGTTCACCACTGAACTTGGTGAAGCAGTTTAAGTATCTGGGCCACTGGGTGACTGATGACCTATGCGACAATGTTGATGTTGAGAGGGAGCGCAGGGCGCTGTCAGTTCGGTGTAACATGTTGGCCCGCAGGTTTGCACGCTGTACTGTACCAGTGAAGGTGACACTGTTTAAAGCTTACTGTCAATCATTTTACACGTGCAGCCTGTGGTTGAACTTCACGCAGCGGGCGTGCGGCGCACTGCGCGTCCAATACAATAATGCATTCAGGATTCTGTTAGGTTTGCCCCGATTTTGTAGTGCATCTACCATGTTCGCTGAGGCGCATGCAGACGATTTCTATGCCATTGTCCGAAAAAGAAGTGCATCCTTATTAAGCCGTCTGAGAGGGTGTGGTAACGGCATCCTGAATGTGTTGGTCGAGCGGTGGGATTCCCCTTTATTGAGGAGGTGGATGCATTTGCACGTCAGTGCATCCCCTCTTTCTTTTATATAGTGTGACATTTTATAATTTTTATTTTTTAATTTTTATTTTTAATTTTTATTTTTAATTTTTATTTTTATTTATTATTATTATTGTTGTTTTTATTTATTATTATTTTATTTTTGTTCTAATTTAATTTAATTTAATTTTAATATGACATGTAAAATATGGATGTAAAATGGTCCGAAATAAATAAATGAATATGAATTAAACCCAAGCCTTTTTGTCTGAAATATAACTAGACACCTTATTATATAATTATATTGACGACCTCCGTGGCCGAGTGGTTTGTACGCCGGGTTTCCTAGTGTTATCGTCTCGAGAGGTCCCGGGTTCGAATCCCGGTGAGGGTAGATGTTAGTGTGATGAATACGAGCATTTGTACTCCAGTCATGTGTGTTTCTATATGTATTATACTTATAGAAATATACTTATATATGTACAGTATATGTATCCCATGACACAAACCTTACAGTGCTTACTTTGGGGCTAGGCTAATTGGTGTGAGTGTTGGAAATATTTATTTATTTATATTTATATGTACAGTATATTATTATGTATTCTATCCGTTACCCTAGTATCCCATAACACAAGCCTTACAGTGCTTACTTTGGGGCTAGGCTAATTGGTGTGGTGTTGGAATAAATAAATATTTCCAACACTCACACCAATTAGCCCAGCCCCAAAGTAAGCACTGTAAGGCTTGTGTTATGGGATACTAGGAGTAACGGATAGAATACATATACTGTACACATATATTTATATAGAAATACATATTAAACATCCATGACTGGAGCACAAATGCTTGTTTGCAAATGCAAATTCATCACACAAACATCTGCCCCCATCAGGATTCGAACCCGTTACCTCTCGAGTCGGCGACACCATGAAACCCGGCGTACAAACCACTCGACCACGGAGGTCGTCAAATAAAATGAAATATTTATTTATTATTATAAAAGGCTTTATTATTAAGAATTCTTTTAATCTATCTATATATATAAAAATGAAACCCGTTTTCCGTTGTCACGACATAACATGAAAACGGCTAGACCAATTTGGCTGATTTTTTTTTGTAGTTTTCTAATACTCTGTACAAGGTTCTTACGGAAAAAAATATAAAGAAAATCTCTCAGAAAGATTGAAAAATATAACGTAACGAATGTCAACGTCATTCAATTTAAAACAAAAAATCTGTGGTAATCTGTGACACCACATCGATTCCAGTTCAAATTGAATAGGTACTCATACATAAGATAGGTCAGCTATACAAAATAAAGTAGTGCATCAAAGCTACGCTAAGGCGGTACGAAGTTCGCCGGGTCAGCTAGTAGTATATATTACTGTTTCAGGTTCGCGTATACGGCATGTCTAGTAAAGTGGGTCTCCTTTCGTTCCCTGATCTAAAGGAGCGCGGAAAATCTCCGTTCAGCAGGACCTTGAAGAATCTGATCGATTTGGAGGCAAGGAAGATCATCGCTGACGCCTACTATAGGACCGAAGACATATTGAGGACCAACAGGGACAAACTAAATGCTGTAAGTTGTTTGACTATCTACGTTTTCATCTTAAATCAAGGAGCAGATAATAGAGAAGTATACGCAAAGCTTGACATAGATGGCGCTGTAAACGCTTGACCCTAACCGCAGCCGAATATTGCATCTGTCATATTTTAAACATGCTCTTTTGTTGTGAAAAATATAAAATAAGTATTGAAAATGTATTCAACATGGTCTGTAATACAGCTAAAAACAGAGTTGAAAAGGTGAAGCAACGCAAAAAAAGCTAATCTAGTAGAAAGGTACTCTTTCTATTATTATGCTGGAGTATGCAGTATTCTCACTACAACCAGGAACTGCACAACGCGGAATTTGTAATTTGTTTAATAAAAAGCTTAAAAATGAATATAAGCTATAATAAATATGTATGTATTTGATAGAAGTTTTGGGTCAAGCGATTACAGCGCCCCTAGTCGCCAAATTTTGCAGATTTCTTGTCTATTGTTGCGGTCATCAACGATATTAAATACCATAGATACAACAATACGAACAAAATCGTGGCCGAAACGTGTCCAAAAGGTACATTGTACGATCCACGGAGCTCCGTAAGATGATCGCGTGGTCAAAAACCATATAAGGCGTTATTTAAACATTGAAAGTCACTTTTAATGCAAACTGTATAAGGTCGTTATTAAAACGCATGCGTCGACAACGACAGTTCGAAATGCAAGCTCGTAAAATTTTACGTCTTATTGCTATATGCGGAAGAATGTAAACCTTATTTCTTTGATTCTACGCGCAATTCTGAATGCGCTGTTAGCAATATAGGAAGTCCGGACCGCGAGGAAAAGAGACGGCTATACGGGGACGTATTACCGACCATGCATTTTAATGTCACAAATATTTTATATTAAACTAGCTGGGGAACTTCGTACCGCCATAAAATATGGGCAGGTGGTAGAAGAGAAAATTTAGGGTTGTATGTATTTTTTAATACCACATTATAAAAAAAAATTGTCCATAAAAGTTTTAGGGGTGTGTAACGTAGTGTTCTTTCTGATTTCCTGGGATAACATTCCTCCTAACCCATATGAGAACACTACGTTACAATACTCAATAGTTTGAATTTTGGCGCGAAGGCGCATTGTAGGTTTCAGAACATTACGTTACAGGTGAAAAACCATTATCACTTAAGGATATGAAAAATAGATAGTAGCCGATTCTCAGACCCATGGAATAATGCATATAAAATTTCATAAAAATCGGTCAGGCCGTTTCGGAGGAGTGTGGTAACTAACATTGTGACACGAGAATTTTATATATAAGATAAATTAATAGTAAGTATTAGTGAGTACAAAATTTGCTTCAAGTGCGTTTATATAACAAACAGATATCTGCCGAAAAAACGACACTTTTCGTACCATAAGAATTTTCTTCGCATTTTTTCACGGAGCTCTGTGGCATCTTGACTTTGTAACGGACAAAAACTTGAGAGGAGCTCAAGCACTTCTTGATAGGGACACATTTTGAGCGCACATGGTGTAGGTCTAGGGTATTTAATATCGTTGGGAGTAATCTATAAAGTACGCCATACGTTAAGGGAGAGGAAGGGGGTCGAAGAAATGTGACATTGTTTGACAAGGGATGGGAGGGGGTCCTAAGTTTTGTAACGTCACATTACAAAATCTAATAATTTTGACCTTTATCAAAACATTTTTCAAATCAGTTTTAATTTGTTATGTTGGAACAGGTTTTCGGACATGCTGTTTCAATTTACTAATTCTAGATGCAAAATATGTGACGTCACACTAGGGAGGGGACACACACACACACACACACACACACACACACACACACATGAAATTAGTGTGACGTACTTTATGGATGACCTCTTGTTAGGGGGGTTCGGAATACAAGATTTATTCGTAGAAAACAAATCCTTTACTTGCCCCAGGCAAGGTCACTGGCCTTGTGGGATTCGCTCCGAATCTAGTGGAAGTCCATCTCCTCAGGAAACTTCAGGCGTCAGGTAGAAAGCGTCGATCGGGTACAGCCGGCGAATTTCCGTTATCTTTCAAAATATGGTCATTGTTTCCAGACTGCAGATTACACAGGCATCGTCCGTAGATATCACAATTCCTTCATCGAATCAAGTCTCCACAAAACACCTAGAACCCAATGGGCAGCACCTTAACAGCCCTTTTACAAAATTGCGCCGCCTTAGTTTAGGTAAATATGACCGCGAGCGTGTCCGAGTCGCACGAGCGAGACATCAACGCGGCCGAAGTTCAGTATAGCGCGCTTTACCAAATTGATACTTTAATATGCAATTATTGATTATACAATAAATGCAAATATAAAATAAAGTTAATTTAAAGTGCTAAGATGGATCCCTACTGTAGCAACGAACGATTCTACATAGGAATCCTGAGTGGAGCAAAGGATACAAGGATTAAGTTTTTTTACTATTGTGAGAAAATAAATAATATATTTATAGTACCCATTGGCTGCGTTTTGGAAATGACAATAAAGATTAATTATGATTATTACTAATTATTGTAACTTTATATGTATGATTTGCATAACTTCTGTTTGATCAAATTTTTTTTATTCACTAAGTAATTAAATGAAAAGTTTGTTCACTGTTATCGCTGAATGAAATCCCTTTTTCGAGTGGCAATGAGAAATAATATTTTATATACTTGTATTTTTAGTATTGACTTTTTTAATGATGATTGATGTTTGGTAATAATCAAATATCTCAGTAAAACTGTACTAAGTGCAGGTTTGTCTTTGCCTTCGTAGTTCATTTAATAAAAAAGTTTTCGCACTCTGTATTTTCAATATATCTGTAAGAGTATTTGATAAAAAAATAAAAAGCATGTTTTTTTGTATTCGTGTAATTTCCATTCATTTAAACAAAACCCATCAGAAGCATTTAACTTTCATAGGAACTCATCTCTTACACACCTAACTCATGAAATTTTTGCTGCGAGTTCTCGTATGGTAATTTCAGGATAAATAATGTGAAAACGGAGCTGGGAAAGTTCACACCTCCTCCATCACTAGCTGCTGTAAAGCACATTCAATAAAATCTGCTATTCTCTATACAATTAATTACTCATCAGTGTTATCAAAGATTATCATCACTGATGCTATCATAACCGGAAGCAGTCTGGTAGTATAACGTATCACGTACAATGATTGTCTCTTTTTGAAACTGATGATTGATGTTTTGTTTTTCGTAAATTACAATGAAGGTTATATTATATTTATCTATAATAATATATTATTCTTTGTGGTTTATTACGGTGACAAAGGGCCACAATACATTTAATTTTAATAAAAGTATGACGATAATAAACAAAATACTTATAATAACAAACATCTGAAATTTCCTCGCTCATTGCCAATTCTATAAGTTCTTATTTCAGCTGAGGTGATATTGATATGTTGACATTTGACGGTCCAACACCCAGTCTGGTGAAAAATGTCCTGGTATCATTACACGTCCTCCATCAACCATATACTCCTCCTGAAAACAGATTATCTAATTAACTACAATACTGCTTTTATCGACTATCTACGCATATAAACAGATATAGGCAATACTGGAAATACATTTCCAATCCAGACACAGATATGGTACGTAAATCAGCAAGTTACTGTCAATTGAACTTATGGAGCAAAGAAGTTTAAATATAAAATATTAAATATAAACTTTTTTGCTCTAGAAATGCATCCCATTAGTTTAAGTTTAAAACAAAAAACCAAACTGCTAACATTGTAAACCATGTACCTAGTGTAGTGAAATATCCATTAAGTCAGTATAAAACAAATAAAATATTTAAATTAGAGTTTGACGCTTCCCTTTGTTCCTCGGCTTCGATTTCCAATCCAACAGCATTTTTTTCCTATATAATTAAATTTATTATTATAATTTCAATTTCTCTTTTCATTGTCTACTTCCAATAACAACATGAAAAACTTACAGTTTCCGTTGCAATCGAATCCATTGAACTTATGGTCGGTATAGTTTCAATATTTTCGGGGTTGCCATTAAAATTTTGTTTCCATCTATAATACATAGAACTGTGGATTTCTATTCTAAATATATTATTATGTTGGGCCAATATGTACTTTGGCGGCCCACGAGCTTATACTTGTTTACTTGATCGAAATGCAAAATTTTACCGCACTCTAGCTTTTTTTATAGACATAAGGATAGATTGACATACCCATTAAGTCAGTAAGTTAAAATCGTTGGCCATTTGAGTACAGTACCCTTGACTGATTACAATTTTATACCAATGATACTTGAAAAGTCCGGACAAATCACCATTTTTATACAATTAAAACACCCATTGACACCACAAAAATAAAAAACCAAATGTTATAAGCATATTCACCTTGCTTCACAAGCTTTCTTTATGGCTGCATCATTCTTTCGTTTTCTTTTTTTGACACAATGGTAAGCAGGAATTTTACGCTCCATTGTAAAAGCTTATAACAAAAATATTAGTTGAAGCAACGATAATTAATAACTAGGTAGGTACTTATAATAATAAAATTTAATACGGTTGTGGAAACTTACATACAGTCAACGATTAAACTGTTGCGGTCGTAGTATATCCAGCCAGTTTTACGATGAATGCACTCGTAGCATCGCTCGGAACACGTGCGGTACAAAGCGACACAGGTCCGACCTCCAAAGGCGCTGGCGCCGTACTGAACGGCGTCTAGATTTGCACTACTATATATTGCATTTTACGCCTGATGTTCAGAGTCTTATAAAATAATAATTAATGAAATTATTATAAAATTATATACATATTTCAGTAGTTCAATGATTGTAGATTAGTTTTATGACAGTTTTTGATAGTAATTCTATTTAATTCAATATCAAAATACGAGGTAAACCTGCGTTATTTTTTGGGGAAACTCACGAAGGTTAGATGTTTTTTTTAATAATTAATGAGATGGAAAATCAAGATTCTAATACATTATGTTGCAACAAAAACATATTTCTGGTGTCGTAG